CTGCAATAAACAAAAAATTTAAAAAAATAAATAAATAAAATAAAATAAATAAAAAAATAAAATAATGGGAAACAAATCTATGGGCCCTATCCAGCTGTTGTGAATTATGAATTCATGATCTTGGCTTTAAACCAATGAGAAAGAGAATAGACTATAAGACTGCCCATAGATAAGTACTAATCCTTCACATCCATCAATGCCCATACCTTCTACCCAGCTCCTTCTACGAAATGACAACTCCAAAACTTCAATGTTATCCTCAAGCACCCTCCTAACATATACCGTCTCACTCAGTGGAGGATCTTGATTCCTAATTCACAAAGAAAATCACAGACATTAATAAGCAACCTCCTCATCTCCCCATCTCAGTCTACATACTTGACTATGGTTGTACCATCCAACCTCAAAAGAGAGGTGACCTTTCTCCTCTTTAAGGGGAATCCTCCCACCATCGCCCCTAATATGTCCCCTCCATTAATTACTTCTTCCTTCATCTTCATCTTCACCCTTCTGCTTAACTTATTAACAGTCCCATCTTGGGGGGACAAACCTCCTTTGACCTACTGCCCCCTCCTTTAAATTTCCTTTAAACTAGAGCTTAGGGCCAGCCCCGTGGCTTAGCGGTTAAGTGCGCGCACTCTGCTACTGGCGGCCCGGGTTCGGATCCCAGGCGTGCACCGACGCACCACTTCTCCGGCCATGCTGAGGCCGCATCCCACATACAGCAACTAGAAGCATGTGCAACTATGACATACAACTATCTACTGGGCCTTTGGGGGTGAAAAAAGGAGGAGGATTGGCAATAGATGTTAGCTCAGAGCCGGTCTTCCTCAGCAAAAAGAGGAGGATTAGCATGGATGTTAGCTCAGGGCTGATCTCCGCCCCCGCCCCGGCCCCAAAATAGTACAGCTTATTTTTCACACTGTTCTATTAGCTTAATTAGTATATTAGCATAGACTTCAGAACAGGAAGCAATCATTTTATTGACCTATGCTAAGTTTTCTGAGCTTCAAAAAATATATTACTTAATGCTATTTGTTTATTTGATAAATATTTATTAGCCTAGTATATACCAAGCCCTGCTCAAGAATGATCCACTCTAAATCCCAATTGGGGTCAAAGCTCCTCAGCACAGCTAACCCACTCTGCCATGGGACATGGATCTCCAGCTTGCACATCAGAGAGACAGAATAAAACCAAAGCAGGGAAACAGGCCCATATTGTTTAGTTGGCAGGAAACACTTATCTATGAGCACAGCCAATGTTTCTGCTACACACTGAGTCTTTATGATATTAAAATAAGTTTGGATTAGCTATCCTATTGATTTTCTGTTTGCGACTACAGATGGAAAGTTAAAAATTCCATATGTAAGAGAGAGATTATGTTTCTGAAAGTTTTAACACAAGTACCAAGGTATGAGACTAACAGGCATTTGGGAATATGAGCAATGGTTCTAAGGGGCAAGCTTTTTGCTGCCCATGAGCATGTTTTCCAAATCATGAGTCAAGACCCTAGACTGGGGTACAAAATCAATTTTGTGGATTGTGGCAAGCATTTTTTAAAAGAAATTATATAAAAGAGAATAGAAAATAGAGTGCATGGCACATATCAAAAGTAGTGATTATGTCATGAAGAAATTGTATATTTTGGGGGGGGGTGTGTGTGCAGTGAGTGGGTCACAGTATAAAATGTATTTCTTATGGTAGATCATGGTAAAAAAAAATATGTATTTTTTTGAACCACTGGTCTGTGTTTATCAAGCTTCATGAATGAGTAATCTATATTCTCTGTCTATACCTTTTCACTTCCTAATCTCAATATGTTGTTTCTGCTTCAGCAACCCCACTAAAATTGTTCTTGATAATGTCACCAGTGGCCTCTATTTGTCAGATTTGATGTATCCCCTTCAGATACATTCATAGTTGAATGTATCTCTGCTGTGCTGAACATTGTTCATACCTCCTTCTTAAAACTTGCATTGCCTTCGGCTTCTGTGACATCACTTTCTTTTTGTTTTTGTTTTTGTTTTTTATTGAGGTAACATTGGTTTATAACACTATATAAGTTTCAGGTGTACATCATTAAATTTCAACTTCTGTGTGGACTACATTGTGTTCACCACCAAAAGTTAAGTTATCATCTGTCTTCCCCAGACAGGTCTGGTAACCATCAACCTATTCTATGTATCTATGTGTTTATTTGTTGTTATTACCTTCCACATATGAGTGACATCATAGAGTATTTGGTTTTCTCCACCCAACATATCTTGCTTAGCATAATACTCTCAAGGTCCATCCATATTGTCACAAATGCCAAGGTTTCATCTTTTTAACGGCTGAGTAGTATTCCATTGCATATATTTATTACATTTTCTTTACCCATTCATCTGTTCATGGGCACTTAGGTTGTTTCCAAGTCTTGGCTATTGTGAATAATACTGCCATGAACGTGGGGGTACACATATCTTTCCGATTTAGTGTTTTCGTGTTCTTTGATAAAAACCCTGAGATGGAATAGCTGGATCAAATGGTAGTTGCACTTTTAATTTTTGGAGGAATCTCCATACTGTTTTACATAGTGGCTGCACCAGTTTACATTACCACCAGCAGTGTGTAAGTGTTCCCTTTTCTCCACATCCTCTCCAACACTTATCTCTTGTCTTTTTTTGTTTTTTGTTTTTTAATTTCTGTTTTTTATTGATGTTTTAATAGTTTATAACATTGTGAAATTTTAGGTTCTATGTTTTTGTTTGTCCATCACCATATATATGTCTCCCTTCACCCCTTGTGCCCACTCCCTACCCCCATTGCCCCTGGTAACCACAACACAGCTTTCTCTGTCCATGTGTTGGTTTATATTCCACATATGAGTGAGATCATACAGTCTTTGTCTTTCTCTTTCTGACTTATTTCACTTAACATAATACCCTCCAGGCCCATGCATGTTGTTGCAAATGGGACAATTTTGTCTTTTTTATGGCTGAGTAGTATTCCATTGTGTATATATATACTACATCTTCTTGATCCAGTCAAGGGACACTTAGGTTGCTTCTACTTCTTGGCTGTAGTGAATAACGCTGTGATGAACATAGGGGTGCATAACCCTCTTTGGATTGTTGATTTCAGGTTCATTGGATAGATTGCCAGTAGTGGGATAGCGGGATCATAGGGTATTTCTATTTTTAATTCTTTGAGGAATCTCCATACCATTTTCCATAGAGGCTGTACCAGTTTGCATTCCCATCAGCTGTGTCTCTTGTCTTTTTAATAATAGCCATCTGATGGGCGTAAGGTGATACCCCATTGTGGGTTATTTTTTCTTGTTTTTTTTTTTTGGTTTTTTTATTTTGGTGAGGAAGATTAGCCCTGAGATAATATTTATACCCATCGTCCTCTATTTATATGTGGGATGCCTGCCACAGCATGGCTTGATGAGCGGTGCATAGGTCCACGCCCGGACTCTGAACCTATGAACCTCAGGCCACAGAAGTGGAGCCCACGAACTTAACCACTACACCACCAGGCTGACCCCCTCACTGTGGTTTTGATTTGCATTTCCCTAATAATTACTGATGTTGAATGTCTTTTCATGTGTCTATTGGTATATCTTCTTTGGAAAAATTCTGTTCAGATCCTCTGCCTATTTTTTAATCAGGTGGTTTTGTTGTTGTCGATTTGTGTGAGTTATTTATACATTTTGGATACTAACCCCTTATTGGATATATGATTTGCCAATATCTTTTCCAAACTGATAGGTTGTCTTTTTGTTTTGTTGATGGTTACTTTTGCCATGCAGGTGCTTTTTAGTTTGATGCAGTCCCATTTGTTTATTTTTTCTTTTGTTTCCTTTGCTGAGGAGACATATTCAAAAAGATGCTGCTAAGACCAATGTCAAAGAGCATACTGCCTATGTTTTCTTCTAGGAGTTTTATGGTTTCAGGTCTCACATTCAAGTCTTTAATCCATTTTGAGTTAATTTTTGTGTATGGTGTAAGAGAGTGGTCTACTTTCATTCTTTTGCATGTGGCTGTCCAGTTTTCCCAACATCATTTATTGAAGAGACTTTCCTTTCTCCATTGTATGTTCTTGGCTGTGACATCACTTTCTAATGATTCTAGTGCTCTCTCCCTGGTATTTCTCTCTAGCTTTTGTTTTCTGGCTCCTCTCCCTCAGTCTTCCCCTGAATTCCCAGCATTTCTGCAGAACAGAGCATGGACCTCACAGATGCCACACACACTAAAGTTGAACTTTATCTCTGCCATTTACCACCTCCAATACTACTTCCCTAGCCCCATCTACCATCATCTCTTGCCTGAATTATTGCAATAGCCTAATGACTGGTCTCCCCTCTGTCTAATCTCAAAGGGTGGCCAGAGTGACCCTGGTAAAAGGAAAGTCAGATCATCTCAATCCTTTGATCAGAACCACTCACTGGCCTTGTGACCTCCTTTAGATCTTTGCTCAAAGAGCAACTTCTCAGTGAGACTTCCAGGCCTCCCTCTTTAAATATACAATTCTACTGCCACACAGATGCCCTTCCCCTTCTTGGTCTACTTTTCTCCATAGTCCTTGTCTAAAATACCATATAATTATTTATTTTGTTTACTGTCTATCTCCTCTTACTGGGACATAAGAACCACTAGAACAAGGATTTCTATCTATTTTGTAGACTACTATATCCCCAGCATCCAGAATTGGTGGCCCATACTAGAAAGCCAATAATATTTATCGAAAGAAGGAATGACTATCACCAATCACCTATTCGTCTTATGAGAATGGTCGCCCTGAGAGGACGCAGGGCTATGTAACTCCCATACTAGTTTATGCAGTTCTCTCTATGTGTAATATATTTTTATAAGGGCTTTTAGCTATTAAGCAAAAAATAAGAGATATTTATAGGAATTGTCTTAAATTCATAGCCAGGTCTATAGTTAGCAGTGTTCCTGCTGGCTAACCCTATAAGATGCAGAAACCCACATATTGGCCTGGTTCAACAAATAACACAAATGTCCTAGGGATGCTGCTTTGCGTTCTTCTTTTTTATCTACTTTATCATACACACAATTGCTTCTATTGGCCTAAAGGGAGGTAAAGACAGTTCAATTTGCTTCATTTTTCTTTCAATAGCCCATAATTGTGTAATAAAAGGAGAAAAATATTAATAAATTATTTTCCCATGAATTATAACCAGATCACAACCTTAGCTTTTTTATTTACTATTATAGCATTTTAAGAGATATTTGCTTCTGTAAAAACACTAACTAACCCATTGAAACTGGTGGCCAGATAGCCATTAATGATTATTCTTAA